CAAGTAGCTAGCTGATACAGTTCATAATGAGTTACTGTAGCTATCGATTATTTGATCACATTAGTTCGAGATGTAAAATGTTAAACTGCAACTGGAGATTGCCATAAAGATTTGTTTGAGAATACAGCGAGCATTTATAGTTTCTGTGTAACTAAATTCTATATATATATATAATATATGGAAATGGGCAAATACATGTTTAGACTAAGACACAACCCCTACTAATTTCACCACTAGAAAAGCAGTCTTTTCAAATAAAACATGTACATCTAAAACATTGCTTTACATAAACCTTCATATCTTTTAAAGTAATTATTCTATGAATGTGTGTAATAAAATTTAATAATGTGTATTTTTTTTTAGCACTACACTTCAAAGATTTGTATAGTGTACAAAGCATTGAGTATCTACATATTATAGTCATCTAATGTTCATCTGTTATTGGCTGGTAATTCCTATTTCATTCTGTACTTAAGCTTTTTAGGTAATTCCTATTTCACTCTGTACTTAAGCTTTTTAAAGGAACACCAGATATTTGTAAGAAAGTTAACTTCATGGGTATTGATAATCATTTACACTAGAATTATGATGTTTTTAGCTTATATAAAATATAGAAAGGAAACAAATAGGCTTTTCAATACCCCTACAACCTTCACTGTACCTTATTTAGTATTCTACAAAAGGTTTGGGTGCAATATACCAAGCCACTTTTGTTGCAGGGTGGCAAGATAATAGTGATAATAATAATAATAATTCAAAAGGGCTGTTTGAGCAGATTTTATTTTTCTTGTAAGTCTAAAATGCATGTTTTTGTGCATTTTTATATCTGTACAGCTTAAGCAGTCAATAGTAATGGTTGTAAAGTTTGTCTGAACTGAATATTGTCTGTTTAGGATTTTTTTTGCCTAAACATTCTATCAAGTTTTGTGCAATTCCTCGTAATTCATATTATGAACCACTATATATCTTACTATATGCTGTATATTCAATTTTCTAATCCCACTGTTAAACAAACAACAAAAGAAGAAAGTAACAATATGACAGTAATTCCATATCATTATCGACAGCCAGAATTTAATACATAATTTATTTAAACATGAAATTTCCTTACCAATAGTTGAGTATCAAACACAACCAATTTTGCACTTATGGGAATGATGTCGTAACAACGGAAATGTTGGAAAAACTTGACAAAAGTTAGATCCTCATTCTCTCCTGTGTTGAAAAAATTTTTTTTATTTAAAGCTGAATAAAGAAGCTTTAAATTTAAAAAACTGAAATGAAATTTCTATTATGTTTTATAGTTTATTATTTTCCTTATAAAAAACAAATGTACTAATCAAAAACACTAAAATGATGTCAGAAAAACAAACGTTTTAATGAATTTTTAAAAGTAACAGATTCCATCTTCAAGAAACTTGTTATTTTATACAAACATAACAAAGATGAAAACAATTATTACAAGTAACATTCCAAATATAAAACAGATTTATTAGAAATGAGGACTGAATGTTACAAAAAAGAAAGCACTGTTTAATTGACAGCTTGATTTTTCAGTAAGAGTACAATGTCAGACTTGGCACTAGGTAAAATATGATTAATTGAACACTGTTTTGTGTTTTTGTTGAATAGGAGCAGGGTATGTTTAGGTTTTATTCATTTTAATTGACAAACTCACACATGTTGGTTTGTAAGCTTATACTTTATCATAATTTTCTAACTTACAGTCACTAAATATGTATAAGTAAACAAGCCATGAACAGAAGTTGCAAAGGAATTACAGGATAATTATCAGTGACAAAAATTAGGCTTTAAAACACATCTTAAAGTAACCTTAGAGATAGCATTGACTAATAAATCTCGTAATTAAGTTGGTTAGTGAACATTTTGTGGCCAAATTAGGAAGTAAAAAGCAATTATCCAATTTTTTACTGACCAACAAAGTTTACATAACTTACCAGCATACTATGTAAATTAGCTGAAGAGTAAGTAGGAATTCAGGGAGTTCTGATTTGGTTAATTATCACAAGAAAAATAGAATGTTTTGAATTGTAACCAGGTTTAAATAAGCAAAGTAATCATTTAAGTACACACATTTTGATTTTCTGGATGAGTAATTAAAATGTAGATTGGTCAAACCAACGGAAGACAATTAATGGCCTTTTGTTCTCTAATATAGGTTAAGGTGAAAGCAGTTTCATCTCGTACATCTCACTGTGGAGAATAAGTACATACTTACATTTAGTTTAAATACAATCATAGCCAGTCATCTTTTGAGTTAAGTGGTGATAATGTTAATATGAGCACTTACCCAAGACTAGCAACAGCAATTTGAAAGGTTGTATTTCAATATTATTTTGATTTTATATGTTCTGAAGTAGTTTTCATTTCTTTAATTTTTGATGACTTATGTTCAATTTGAATATAGAAGTTTGGGAAAATTTTACAGAAGTCTATGGAGAAAGAAGAAAAAAAAGCTGTTGTAAGCACACTAATAGCGAACATTAATTAACCCTACCTATAATTTGGTAATTATTTTATTAAAATAAGATTTTAAGTATATTTTTGGACTTATCCGAGAAAGTAATTAATATTTCCTATGTAAGTGATTAAAAATGCATTAGTAATTTAGATCTAATTAATTTATTCATCACTAGGTTCAAAGAAGACAAGTATCTGGTATACATCCTTGACATAAATATTCATATCCATGATGAATAGAAAATAATTAAATATGTAAATTAGAACATTGTAGCCTGATTGATTCTTGGAACTAAAAGTAAATGCAAGAATTTGTTTGATATCAGACTCAATGTTATTTTCTCATGCTTTGATTTTATTTCTAAAAAGTTTACTAACATAGTAATAATTTTACACATTTTGGTATAATAACTGAGTATAGACAATAAGTGGACTCTGTCAGTGGCATATGTAGGCCACTGAAAGCCCTGGGGCAAGAATATTTTACAATAGCCTGACCCTACTAATGGTACACAAGTAAAATAATACAATAAAACACATGTACAATAATAAATAAAATAAAATCATTCCAACTGGAATGGGTGGAGAACCTCTAGTTGTTCATTCATTGAAAGAGGAACCCTCAAACACTGCCACACTCACTCTGTTCACAGGGGGGGCCTTTCATGATTTTCAGCTGTATCAGTTGGGCCTTTGATTTAAATAGCTAGAATAGCTATTATTTTTACCCTTTTGAAGCTAGTACAGAAATAGTCTTTATTCATATGTATTCAGATCAATTTTTTCTACACTTCCATGCAGTTTCCGCATGTAGTTAACCACATTTGTGTTGACCAGATTTCACAAGGCCGTAAACATGTGAAGAATTTACACAGGGAAAGGTTTCATATTGCAGCCTTTGTTCTTACGTAACAGACTAGTATGCAAACATTTCTGTATGTGGACTTCTGGGAAAAAAGCTTATTCTAACAGGCAACAAGCTTAGAATTGGATGCAAACTTTGTTGAAATATCTAACCCATGGATTTGTGAATTACCTTATCAGCACTTCTGCCTGAGTTTACACAAGATGGGGGGGGGGGATTATTTCTATAGTTCTCTCTCATATTTCGTATTCCTGTAGACTTCTTGCTCTCAATAGCAGCCAGTAATTCAAACAGAAGCTGGCCACCAATTTGGTGATATTATGAACATATGTAAATAAAGATTGTTATACTTGTTTACTTGTATATGTTTCTTTCAACTGCTGTGTTTTCAAGTTATTATTTGCTTACCAATCCCAAACCTGCACTTTTGTGGAAGTTTCTGGTTTTGTGATGGACATCAGTGAGCCTGAATTCCACAAAGATCCTAAGTGTTAATTTTGTGCATTTTAAAAGTAAGCTACCATTTACATGAGTTGGAATATAGGTATCAGACTTTGGTGAGTTTGATCACTTTTATGCATACAACTGACTGAGCTATACTGTCTAGTGATAAAACTGTATACTTTAAGAATTTCATCAGAAATCAACTAGAAGAGCAAGAGTTAAAGCACTATACAATGCGTACAGATAGAATAATGAAGTCAAATTTTGCATACGAGTTTATAAATATGAAATATACAAAACACACACACACACACATTTGGTATGATTCTAATTAAAAAGTTGACCCTCCAGATCAATCTGGTTTTGTATTTCAAACATAAAGAACAGGTTAGTTCTTATGACTCCTGAACTAAAGATGAAAAAGTTTGTAGTTTAAAGCTTTCACTATGACCTACTTACAATGTAAGTAGGTATGCAACTCTAGTGAAAGTTCTTTAAAAAAAAATGAAACTAGTGGATGAAATTCTTTTAAATTTGAGATGAAAGGTCCTATAAGTATGTAGTTTTTGAAAATAAAATGTTTAATTTTGATTTTTTCTAAAACAATATTTTTCTCATGCCTTTCTTTTTGCATGTTGCCTATCCAACATGCAAAGTAATTTTCATTCTAAGATTAAAAATACTTTTATGCATGAGAAAATTTTCAATTTCACATAAAAAATCCTTATAATGTCCAGATAGTTACCAAACGTTTTTCAAGAAAAAACTTTATATTTTATCTGTTATTTTCACTAATCAATATCTGTATGGCTTTAGTCTATTTGACCAATCTCATAATCACCATAAAAAATATGAAATAAGTATAAACTAAGCCTTTTTCATTCTAGAATGACTACAAATTATAACAAGAAAACAGAAATGTTTAGAGTAAATAGTTTAAATCTCATAACATTATACATTTATGTATATTTATAATTTTTATTATACTGACCTTTCAGCCATGCCTGGCTAACAATACAGAAGTTACAATGACACAGTGCACTCAGCGTATCCAATAATATAAAACTGACCTTTAGTGACAAAGTGACCAGTCTTGGTTGTGTTTTAGTGGACTAGTATTTTGTTAAATACAGTCATATTTCCATTATTATACATTATATATGTATATAGATTATTACTATTTACAAATAACTTCTTAAACTTATTTTCCTTAAAACATAGAACAGTAAATAAAGAAGTAAAGCGATTAATTATCTCTTCTAGTTCCGACCTTTGTACTTGGTTGCTGTTTGTCGTAGCTTGCTGAACCTTTTAAAATTTCACAAATGGTTTTATATATATATATATATATATATATATATATATATATATAT